ATCAGTGATAAATCATGTTGATGCCATGTACCCACAGATATGATGTATGAGAACTCACCTCACCTGTGTGGCACTCTCCCTAAAACTCCATAACTTTAGTCTCTAATCATGAGAAAACATCAGATAAACCCAAATTCAGAAGCAGTATACAAAAACCAGTACTCTTCAGAGACAAAAGAAAGACTAAGAAACTGTCACAGATTAGAGGAGACTAAGGACACATGACAACTTAATGTAGTGTGGTGTCCTGGATTGGATCCTGGGGGAAAAAAGTCATACTGGTGGAATAAATGTTGAAATCCAAATAAAATCAGTAGTATATTGTGGATGAAAAAGGAGTTCTGTTATAAATCTGACAAGTAACCGAAAGTAACCTCACAGGATGATCTGAGCATAAATTCCTAACTGAGCAGGTCATGGTAGGTAGTCCCGCCCCAGGCATATAATTTCTTTAGTAAAAGGTTTATCTTTGCCTTCAGCAAACCCTGTCCATTGTTTCTGTGCATTAAGATTAACACACTTTTGAAATGCCAGAAGTAATCCTGTTTTTCAGACCCCTCAGAAGTGTAACCACCCTCAAGAGAGCACATAATGTTGTTAACCATCCTGTAATCCAATCATAGATATTTATCTGACTTGCTTTCTCTCTCCTTCATATAATCTTCCTTACATTCCCTCCTTAATTACAAATGTATAAAAGAAATTACATGTGAGGTCTTGCTTCCCAGCATGTCATCAGTTTGGCTCAAATAAACTCACATAAAAATTCTCTACAGGTTTGGGGCATTCTTAAGTCAACAATAGTTAATAGTTTTAATTCAATGTTAGTTTATATATATATATATATATATATATATATATATATATATATATATATATATATATATATATAGGAGTTGATTTGAGGGGCCAGCCGAGTGGCTTGCTGGTTAAGAGCTAGCTTGGGAGCGCAAGCTCTGATCAGGAGGGCCGCAGGTTCAGATCCCACATGACCAGTGATGCTGCGCCCTCTACAGCTAAGATGGTGAACGACAGCTCAACCTGGAGCTGGGCTGCCAGGAGTCGCCAGCGACAACATAGGATGCAATGGGGCTGCAATGGGCTGCCGTAAGCTACCATGAGTGGCTGGCAGCCGGTGTGAGCTGCCGTGAGCCACCGTGAGTGGCCATCCAATGGCCAGCGACTGATCTGCCTCAGCCGGGAAGAGTGCAATGATAATACCAACATGAGCCAGTGAAGCGACGTCCTCCACAACTAGACTGAAGAACAAAAGGACAGCAACTTGTCTGTTCTCCTTCCTCGATTCCCCAACGCTGTTCCCTCCCCAAATTCCCCAATAAAAAAATCTTTAAAAAAAAGAAGAGTTTATTGGAGACAAACTGATGACATATGCCATGGAGCAATATCTCAAAATAATCTCTAATGTCAGTATTTTTTTTTAATCTTTGATGGTTATATAAGCTGTTAGCATTAGGAGACTATGGGTAAAGGGTAAGTGGGAACTCTCTGTACTACCTTTGCAACCTGGTCTAAAGTCTAAAATTACTTTTTTAAGTTAAAAAAAAACTATCAGTTTCTTATCAGATGCAAACCGGAAACTACATCATAGGCTCTCTGGCTCTCAGGTCTTTGAACTACACTACTGGCTTTCCTGGATCTCCAGCTCAGCCTCCATAATTACATGAGCCATTACCTTATGATAAACCCCTATCTATCTATCTATCTATCTATCTATCTATCTATCTATCTCACCACCCTTTCTCCTGCCCTTCACCCCCTATCTCCCCCCCATCCCTGAAACCAGACCCATACTTGGGTGGAGTCCAAAAGTCACCTTCATTAACATAACACCTTGATCAATGCTTAGGAAATTCCAAGGGTTTGGGGAGCTGTGATTGAAGACCAATATTTTATAAAACACAATATCATTCACATATATATAATTGGACCTGTTTCTCAGAAGAATACTGATTAATACACAATCTAAACCAAATCTTGTGTCTTTAAAACAGAGCTGGCAAGGGCAGTCTTTTCAACAATTAGTGTTGGGAACACCAGAAAGCCACATGCAAAAGAATGAATGTGCACTCTTACCTTATATCATATACAAAAATTAACTCAAAATGGATCAAAGACCTAAACTAAGGGCTAGAACTATAAAACTGTTAGAAAAAGGGCTGGCCAAGTGGCACGTTCGTTAAGAGTTGGCTTGGGATGCCAGGTCTGAGCAGCAGGGCCCTGGTTTGGACCCCACACTAGAGCCAGTGACACTGCCCTCTACAGCTAAGATGGTGAACAACAGCTCAACCTGGAGCTGGGCTGCCGTGAGTCGACGGCGGCGTAGGCTGCAGTGGAGCTGCAGTGAGGCTCCCGTAAGCTAGCATGAGCAGCCGGCATCCAGCATGAGCTTTTGTGAGCTGCCAAGAGCCGCCGTGAGGCAGAGACCAATCTGCCTCACCTGGGAAGAGCACAATGATAATACCAATATGGGCCAGTGAAGTGACATCCTCCACAACTACACTGAAGAACAAAAGGACAACAACTTCTCTGTTCTCCTTCCCAATTCCCCAACGCTGTTCCCCTCCCCCAATTCCCAAATAAATAAATAAATAAATAAAACTGTTAGAAAAAATATATAGGGGGAAAGCTTCATGACATCAGATTTGGCAATGATTTCTCAGATATGACACTAAAAGCACAAGCAACAAAAGAAAAAAAATACATAAGGTGGACTTGATCAAATTATAAAAGTGTGCATCAAAGGGTACTATAAACAGAGTGAAAAGACAACCCACAGAATAGGAGAAAACACTTGCAAATCATATATCTGACAAGGGATTAATATCCAGGATATACAAAGACTTATACAGCTCAAGAAAGAAAAAAAATAAGATAAACCTACTAAAACATGGGCAATCTTGAATAGACATTTCTCTAAAGAAGATATACAAATAGCCAATGAAAAGGTGCTCAACTTCACTAGTCATTTGGGAAACGCAAATCAAACCACAATTAGATACTACTCCAAACCCCTTAGGCTGGCTATTACCAAAAAAACAGAAAATAGTGTTAGTGAGCATGTGGAGAAATTAAAACCCTGTGTACTGCTGGTGAGACTGTTAAATGGTGCAGCCATTATTGAAAATATTTGAGTCAGTTCCTCAAAAAAGTAAACATAGAACTACCCTATAACCCAGCAATTCCACTTCTGAGTATATACCCAAAAGAATTTATATAACATAAAAATACAGGCCAAAGTGAGAGGCAACAAGCATTTGAGATCCAAAAGAATAGCTATTTGGGAAACACTGATTCATGCAGAAACCCAAGTAGTGTTCCAATTAGGAGATGATGTAAAAAAAAAAAAACGGGAACATTTATGAGAAAGGAAGGGGAACAATTGCATCAACAGAAGGAAGGAATTTCTATAGATGAAGAGAAGCTAACATAGTGATGTTAATTCTAAAGAAAGTTTTCAATCTTCAGTTCTGGTTATAATATCGGCTTTCTTGTTATCTTTGCAAAGAGTGGTTTGGGATACAGTGCTGCCTGAGGCCAAGTCCAAAGGTTATTTTGCCCAGCTTTAACATTCCAAGGTTTGAGAAGTAAGACAGACAAGGCCGTTCATCTAGGATGGCAGCTCCGGCTCCATTTTAAAGTGGCTCCATTTATAGTATTCTTTACAATTGAAAGCACAGACTGGAACAGATATTTGTACACCATGTTCAAGTAGCATTATTCACAATAGCCAAAAGGTAGAAACAACCCAAGTGTTCATCAAGAGATGAATGGATAAACAAGGTATGATATACACATGCAATGGAATATCATTCAGCCTTAAAAAGGAAAGAATTTCTGACACATACTGCAACATGGGTGAACCTTGAGGACATTATGCTAAGTGAAATAAGTCAGTCACCAACAGACAAATATTGTATGACTCCACTTATATGAGAAACCTAGAGTACTCAAATTCATAGAGACAGAAAGAATGATGGTTGCCAAGGGCTGGGGAAAGGGGGGAAGGGAAGTTATTGTTTAATGGCTACAGAGTTTCAGTTTCGGAAGATAAAAAGTTCTGGATGGTGGTCATGGTTGCACAACAATACAAATGTACTTAATGCCACTAAACTATACACTTAAAATTCTGTAAAGCATAGATCATGGGACACCAAGTAGGGGCTCCAAATGAATTCCTTTCTCCTTCCCTTCCCAAAGTGGCTAGAGTATTATTTTTTAATTATAGATGGCATACAACATTATATTCATTCCATGTGTACAACATAGTGATCAGATCTTTATATATATACCTTACAAAATGATCCCCATAAGTGTGTACACATCTGGCACGATGCATACTTATTACCATAATATATGACTATATTTCCTATGCTGTACCTTACATCCCTGTGACTAATTTTATAACTGTCAGTTTGCACTTCTTAATTCCCTTTACCTTTTTCACCCACCCACCCCAATCTGGCAACCAAAGCGCTAGATTATTGAGTGCACTAAGGAATCAATCTGTTAAACAGAGGGGAAAACGGCAGCAATTTTAATTTTATTATAATGATGATTTGTTTATTGTACGCATCCTATTATTGCCTTCTTTGCCGAAAGCTTTGTCTTAAAACATGCCATCCTTAAAACATTATACTCTCAAAAATAGGACAGAAAGGAAAAAATGGCTAGAAAAGCAACAGAAGGCAGCATCATGTCCCTATAGCTACTGATTTTAGTCCTCATGATGCTTTTTAGCTTCCAATAGCTGTCCATGCACGGCTGCTGTTTTATCGCTGTTTAATCGTGAATAAACGCAGCACTGGATTCGAATAATTTCTTAGCTTCTGAGATTCTACATCTAAATAACGTAGACTTAGTGCTGTCTCTCACAGGAAAGAGAACGGTTGGTCACATTTCACAATCCGTTTTTGGTTCCCACAGCCCAAAAAAGCAAAGCGCTTCTCTCTCCTACGCCTCTCTCTCTCCTCCCATCTCGCCCATCTTTCTTTCCACCTCCTTTCTTCACCCTCTTGCGCTCTTTCCAGTGGTGAGCTCGCACTACCACAAGTCCGGCACAAACCATGGATTTCTCTTTAGAAAAATTCTCGCCTTAAAAGAGGCAAGAATCAGCGAGGATTTTGACGCGGAGTGGCTCCTCCTACTCGTCCCTCGCACCCGGGAAAGAGCAGCCCACCAGCAGTGGGATTGCCGGTGTCCAGGCTCTCTGGTCCGGTCTGGACTGTGGCCGGTGCCCGCTCCCCTCTGGGAACAACCTCCCCACTGTTCCTGCAGGAATCGGTGCCAGCCGCCAGCCACGCCCGTTGCACCCGGTGCCAGGGTCGGATAGGGTGACCCGCAGGCGTGTGCCTGGCCGTGAGGCTGGCCTCCGGCCTGAAAGAGGGCCCGCCCCGGGCCCCGCCCCGCCCACCAGGGCGCCCAACTCCTGCGTTCTCCTGCACTCACTGCTTCTCGCAGCCGCCTGCCGGACTTGCCTGCACCCTTCGCCACTTTACGCGCCGCAGCCATGTGTTCTCGAGCCGCCCTGGCACGGGTGCTGCGACTTATCGCTCTGGGCACGCTGCTGTGGCCCGTGGCCGACTCCTGGGAACTCACCATCCTGCACACCAACGACGTGCACAGCCGGCTGGAGCAGACCAGTGAGGACTCCAGCAAGTGCATGAATGCCAAACACTGTGTCGGCGGCGTGGCCCGGCTCTTTACCAAAGTGCAGCAGATCCGCCGCAGCGAGCCTCACGTGCTGCTGCTTGACGCTGGCGACCAGTACCAGGGCACCATTTGGTTCACTGTGTACAAAGGCGCTGAGGTGGCGCACTTCATGAACGCCCTGCGCTACGATGCCATGGTAAGTCAGCGGCTAACCTGAGAGGTTGGGGAGCCCCAGGAGAGGAGTCCGGACCAAGAGAGAAAAGCCGGGGTAGCGGAACAGCAGATGGCTTGGCAAGCCTAGGACAGGGAGAGATTTGAGAAAAAAGCGAGACTGGCCAGTGTGCCAGATGAATGCAGACACAGAAGTCTTTTGGATGATGCGTCTTAAATGTACTGATGTTGGGCCCCCACTATGAGATGGGATATTTAGAGGAGCAGGACCCAGGCCCACCTAGGAGGGCGTTCAGTTGGGGTGCGTGGGAGCATTGGCAACTTCCAGTGGACCCAAGTAGACCTATCACACGTCTCTCTCATTTACCACTCGATCTGTCAAAGAATGCTTGATCTCTATTTTATTGGAAGAGAAATTCAGGGTCAAAGAGGTTGAGTACATTATCCAGGTCATCAGCTCCAAAAGAGGGAGACCCGGTAAGTGTGTGTTCCAGACCCCTTTGACCCCGGAGCTTGACCTTGATTAAATTTACACAGCCTTAGATTAGATTCCCAGCTCAGCTACCTTACGCATATGTGCAAATGACTTACTCTCTCTGTACCTCAGTTCCAGCCTCTATAAAATGGGAATAATAATTGTATCTACCTCAGAGCATTCCCTGCCATATAGCGCAGCCTCTATAAATGTTAGTTTTTATTACTACCAGACATTACTGAATAAATTTTAAAACAGAAACTTCCAGAGAGAACCAAAATGCTAAAAACACTGGGGTTTCAAAGCATATCAATAAAATCAGTTTGGCAGCCGAGATTTAGGTATAACCCAATTTAAAAGATGAGGGACTCTTAAAACACACGTAAGAGTTTAAGTTCAAGCTCCCAAATGCTCTGTTAAAGGTGATGCCCTATTTGTTGGTCTAAATTTTAGGAAAGGAGCAGAGAGTGGTTACTCAGTAATAAGTATAATCAAAACATATATGTGGTTTGCTTTTTGGTTTTGTTGTGTTTTGGGGTTTTTTTAAATCAAACCACCACACAAGTTTAACCTTGTGTAAAATCCTAGAATAAAGGGATTCTGTGGAGGAACTGGGGAAAACAAATCTTAGGAGCTTCGGAAGAGGATGAACAGAGCAAGGATCCAAGGAAATCTGTGACATCCACATATGTGGAAGGGAAGGAAAGGTGTGTCCAGGCTGGGATGCAGAGGGCTGAGAATAAACTTTGTATGAGAACAACAGAGAGGTAAGCAAAGAACAATGTTAATTTTTTTCCCCCGGAAACTTGCAAAAGGAGGACAGGAAAAGGTGATAAAAAGAGTGGAGTTGTTTAGTTTCCTTTTCCCCCAACAAGAAAACTCATTTTAGAGAAATGAGAGAAAGGCAGAGAGCTCCTCTCCATTCTGATTATTGTTTTAAGGTTATCAGGAACACTCAAAGCAGCAGCAATTCAAAGGGAACCCTAAGTCCCACAGTTTATCTGGGGAGCTCATGAGCCTCTGGAGTCCACAGTAGAAACGTGGGTCTCTTAGGTGTTGGTATTTCCATGGCTCAACCTGTCTGATGCTTTGTATTCAGTAATGGCAGAATAAATATTTACTGAATTGTTACTAGCCTACATATCCATTTTCCTCCCAGAAGGGTAAAATACACCTTACATGAGTTTGTTTTCATTTCACACGTGAAGCACAACTTTGTAAACTTTTTTGTAACACTTTTTCTCCATAGTTGTATAAACTCCTTTTGATGGGAAAAAAAAAAGGAGAATTACTAGTTTTCGCTAATAATGTTTTCCTCTCTAAGTCAAATTGAGCTCACGGTGTTAATCACTTTAACAAGTGTTCATGACAGGACTCTGGATGAGGATGGGGCAATCTGCTTATCGCCACCAGGAATGTTTAGAAAACTTTTTGTTGGATGGAATTATTTTCTTTAAAATTTTGCCCAGCATAATTGGACTGGGGCTTGAAGAAGAAAAAAAAAAGGCTACTTACGTAGTTAGCAGGGTGTGAAAGTGGGGAGGAGCTCCAATGGTAAGGCTGATTGATAGCCACGTTCCTAGCAACACCTCATCAGGACTTACTCTGCACAGTTCTGGAGTTTCACAAACATGATTTGACCTGCATAAAATCCTGCTTTTCTATAATGCTTTAGCATATGATAAAGCTCTGCCATATTCTTGTTTTACAAAGATTTTTCACTGTCATTTTGTTTATATTATGCTACTCCTGAGGTATTTATTAATGTTCTGCTGTAAAGGTTCCCCCACCCCACCTGCATGCCACATCTTGACTCTCAGGACACTGGAGATTCAGATCTGGGTGGGAAACAGTTGCAGAAGGGCATGTCCTGTTCTCTAAAAAATTGGACCTAGTTAGAGGAGCCACGTCTAAGGACTCGAGGGTATGGAAGGCAAAGAGCAAGAGCCTCCAAGGAGGTGTAGACTCTCTAGGCCTGCCACATGCCAGCGACAGCTGCTGGAGAAGTGATAACTCCGGAGGCCCCAGGGTGAGCCTGGAGGCCCCCTGGACCTGCTGCTAGCCAGAGGGAGGATGTTAAAAGCCACTAGTTTGTATAGCTGTCTCAGTGGAAGGTCTGGTTGTCCCCCAAGGCAGTAGGAAGACAGTATAGATGCACTCAGAGTGTGAGCATGGACAGATTACTTTCTCTGATTTCATGTTCTCTAACTGTAAAACAGCAGGGATAGAGATTCAAGATGGCAGAGTAGATAAACACTGTGCCTGCATTCTTCTGTGAACACATTAAAGTTACAACTAAATTATAGAACGAACAACCTGAAGACCCATCTGAAGTCTGGCTGAACAGAAATCCTACAACTGAAAATATAAAGAAAAAGCCACGTTGAGACAGGTACCAGGGAGGGAGACTTGAAACAAACCTCACACCTGCATGTGCTAGTTGAGAATCAGGAAAGATATCCCCAGAGAGGCAAGGGACCCAAGCCCCCCATACCAGGCTCCCCAGCCTGGATACTGGCGCCAAGATGAGAAGGCCCAACAACATCTAGCTGTGAAAAACAGTGCGGATTCCAACCATCCAGGTGGGATAGAAGGCCGTGAGAAGCCCAGACGTCCTCTTAAATAGCCTGCGCACAGACTCACTTGCTCGCAGGCACTCACCTTGGACTCCAGTGGAGGGATGGTGACTCAGGAGTCCTCAGAAACAATGGAGGTACCGACTGAGGTATGTGGCTTCATGGGGAGGCCTGGAGGACAGTTGGCATTTTCCCTGTGAGGGTCCACCTTTATGCAGCTGGCAGGCAGGTGCCATCTTTCCTGTGTTAAGCCTGCCCCCTCTGGCCAAAAATGAATCTGATTGGCCTTGTGAGCTCCTCTGCTCCGCCCTGCTGACTCACCGGACACCCACACCACCTAACTTGCGCACAGCTGGAGGCACTTTATCTGAGAGCAGCCAGCTCTGCCTGCATTGCACTCTTTCTTAGAAAACTAGAGAAGTCCAGCTGGCCCCAGGCAGGCAGCGACTGGCCTCAATGTGCTCTGAGACTTTTGCTGAGTTGCTCCAGGCTCAGCACTGACATCAAACTAAAATTTACATTAACCTGGTGACCACAACCTGGTGACCTTGCCTCACCCAACTCGAGTACTGCATGAGGGGTTATCAGTGGCTGAAACTTAAGGAAGCCAGCAGGTGGCAACAGGTCTCAGGGTGTCCTGGCTTTTTGCAGAGCTACCCCAGGCCCAGTACTGGTGGCAGCAGTTGTCCTCAGTTCACAGTGTGGCCTCTCCCATGCACCTTCAGGTCTAGCACAGACAGCAAACAACCATGGAACACTTTGTAGCTCCTACCAAGTAGCCCCCAGCCAGTCACAGGCAATGGGTGACCTGGGCCTGCACGGGAACCCCTCCCAAGAGGCCCCAGAATTGACATACTTAGAGTTTGGCTTCAGATTATAGCAAGGCACCACCCAATTAGCCACACAAGCAGCACAAACAAAGGGCAGTCTCAACAGGCACTAGAGTCCACTGGGGCAAATCTCACTCAGTGGGGTAAGCCTTCTGCACAGCAGCCCATAAGCTGTGGACGTGGCCAAACTCCACAACCAATCAGCCTGAGGGTCAGTCCCACCCAGTGACATACCAACAGCTATCAAGGCTCAACTACAGTAGAAGGGCACACACAAACCACAAAAGGGACACTACTCGAGCATCCAGCTCAGGTGACCAGGGAGACTGTGCCACTGGGCCCCACAGGACAGCTAATACATAAGGCCATTTGACAAAGACGGGGAGATATAGCATGTCTATTTAACATAGAACAAATACAAAAAGGCTACCAAAATGAGGAAACAAAGAAATACATCCCAAATGAAAGAACAGGAAAAAAATCCAGAAAAAGAACTAAATAAAATGGAGGTAAGCAACCTACCAGAGACAGAGTTCAAAACAATGGTTATAGGATGCTCAAGAAACTTAATGAGAACTTCAATAAAGGGATAGCAAGCATAAAGAAGGACATAGAAACAATAAAAAAAGAACCAGCCAGAAATGAAGAATGCAATAGCTGAAATGAAAAATGTACTAGAAGGAATCACCAGCAGATTAGATGAAGCAGAGGGTCAGATTGGCGATTTGGAAGACAAGGTAGCAAAAAATGCACAATTGGAACACCAAAAAGAAAAAAGAATCCAAAAAGAGGAGAGTTTAAGAGGCCTCTGGGACAACATCAAGCATAATAACATTTGCATCATAGGGGTACCAGAAGGAGAAAAGAGAAAGCAAGAGATTGAGAACCTATATGAAGAAATAATGACTGAAAACTTCCCTAACTTAGTGAAAGAAATAGACATACTAGTCCAGGAAGTGCAGAGAGTACCAAACCCAAACAGGCACACACCTACACACATTATAATTAAAATGGCAAAGGTTAAAGACAAAGAGAGAATCCTAAAAGCAGTGAGAGAAAGGCAACTAGTAACTTATAAGGGAGCTCCCATGAGACTGTCAGCTGACTTCTCAAAAGAAACTTTGCAAGCCAAAAGGGATTGGCA